CATCCGCATATAATAGGAAAGGCGGTGGTTATGTAAATTCTGCTTCTCACGAGACCCTGTAAAACTTAAATGTCTCCTCTAAAGGCTCTTCGTTAGCGTTTGTGCATGACTTTGTTCGAACACATACGAACGGTTTGAAGGAATTGGAAATATGCTCTTATTACTTTTGTACTGTGACGTCACCGATTTTTGGGATTTAAACGATATAACATATTAGGATAGGATTAATAGTTCCATCTTACCTCCGTATTCGCAAAGACTCGAAGAGGGTTATCTGGTACATCCGGCCTGACCTGCAATTAATTAAATAAACAATCCTTTTGCTCCACGAAGGTAGGTAAACAACAATGGCCGTATTCACCTCGGTTATTTTCCAAGATGGGTAATGCTGGCATAATTTGTCCTTTTTATATGCATTAAAAAATCTTGACAATCATTTAAGTTTGCCTTTGATCTCCCTCTCTGATTGCTCATCATTAGCCCGGATAAATCCGTTCGAGTTTTGTGGTGCTTTGGTGCTATTTTTTTACTTCAGCTGTAGTGAATATTAGTGTTAATTGTTTCAAATGACCAAGTTGAGGTAAGTAACCTAGGTGATAGGGGTTAGCTGCCATTATTATCGCTTTTCTAGTGCTACGAGCTGACTGGTCAATAGAAATTGACAGATCGCATTAAATGTCTGCACTTCAATAAGGCCTCATAAGAGTACTGATTTCTGCTTGATAAGAAAATGATGTGCCAAAAATAATTGAGGGGGTACTTGAAGTTTGCAAGCGTTAAGGTGCAGTGGAGCGCTGATTCTTGATTAATCAATGTGGCCCAGACACTGGCCAATCAAACCACTCTGCCGGGTGGTAATTACATGAGCGTTATTGCTTAAAGAATGCAAAAGTACATTTACGGTCATTTGATTTTATGCCAAAATATCCCGACTTAGTAAGACCTCACTTCTCAGTCGCTGGTTAGTACGTGACTGCGTCGATGGTTAAATCTTTCGCGTGTTTTGCATGAAATACCATATATAATTTATTCATTGAATTAAATTAATCCAATTAATTTTATTTATTTAATTCATTCAAATTTTTATATATGCGCACACGATTGAACCTCTATGCCTGATCAACAAATGTGTGAAATACCTTGACACGTATGGCTTCCAGTCGAGCCTCCATGGCCTCGGCCTGTCTCGTCGCCTCTTCAGAGGCCTCCACTCGACGAGCAGACTGCTGTTGGAGGTGCTTCTTCGCGATTTCCAGCAGACGTTGGGTGTCCAGACGACGTTGTCTATCAAAAACCCGTCGTAACTCTTCCAACCGCAGATGCTCAGCAGCTTCGAATTCTGCTTTCTCTTGAAGTTTTGACTCCCGTCGTGTCTGGATCTAAGGTTCCGAGTATTAAACAGTCTACTGTTTACCTCAGAATCAATCGTTACACTTTGACAGTTGCCAGTCAAATAGTGGATGTTTTATTGAAAATAAAAGTGGCACTAGAGAGTACACGTTTATAGTTTCAACAACATCCTGACTGATAATTTATACCCTTTTTCCTTTTTGAGATGGAGACAAAGCAACCTTAAAAAATTCGTTTAACATGCGATTAGTTGATTTAATAAATAAAAAATCCTTGGAACAACTTACTTTATTTTTTATGGCTTGACGACGCCTGTCTTCCCTCGCCTGTCTCTCTTTCTCCCTCGCCATCTCGGCAGCCCTGTTTGACTCCCGAGCTCGTAACTCCAAATCTTCCAGTTCTGCCTTCTCCTCCCTCCACCTTTGAACCTGACACATGAAGCACATCCTTGAGGAATCACCTAGTCAAAACCATACAGTAGAGCGTTTTTCACCAAGCGCGAACCGACCTTTCCAGCGAGTTGTTGGCACAACATCCTCTGCTTCTCCACACTCGCCTTTTCTTGGCTTCTCTTGCGAAACTCCTCCGTGGCATCTTCCAATGTCACATGGATACGATCTGCAAGCTCCTGTCGCGCCCTCGTCCACGCCAAAACAATATCCTCCATTTTCACTTTGAGCACATCGTGCTCGCGAAAGAAGTCCAACAACCGCGTCTGTTTACAAAACCATTGTCACTTACAAATACCAGGGGTGTGCTTGCGTCATAACTCGGGAAACTTGCATAAGGCTTCTTTACACGATGACTGGGGAGACGCTTTAAGAAATCAATGCAATTTCTGCGTTTTCGTGGCGTCTCTGATGCGTTGTAGACATCCCACAGAAATTCCACCAGATGAAAGTCTTCTATTTTCCATTCTTTAAGACCACTAAATATGAGTCGCATCAATTAGTGAGACACTTACTAAGTATTCTCCAAGTTGAAAAATTCCTTTTTAGCGCTTTCAATTTTGGTGATAAAAGCAGCATCAAGGTGAACAAATTCAGAGAGCAAATCGGCCCTGAACTTCTCGTCATGCGTGTCCCACTGCCAGGCCTCGGAAGGAATTCCACCACTTTTGTCTTCTGCTGGGTCTTCTCCTCGCAGCCGCTCAAAAGTGTCCAGTCTGGACGCTGAAATGACCATGAGAAGTAGCAAATCCATAATTTACTTAGAGGAAAGGCGTCAATTTCAACTTCGCGTTGTAGAAGCTTAAAGGTTTCTGCTTCGATGTTTGCATAAGCATCCCTCAGGGCAGCTCTTAGATTTTGATTCGATTGCAAAGATTCCTTAATCTCTAGCCTACGAAAGAAGGAAAATATATCAGAATATTAGTTCAGAGTCTACAAAATAACCCCCCCTTTTATAAAAGTTTAGCGAAACATAAAACAGCCTAAACAGATTGTACTGGCTTAAGTTACTAACGACAAACCTCAACTGATTTAGGGGTTGAATCACTTCAGCCTTAAAGTCCTCCAGCTCCAGAGACTGAGCCTCCACCAGCTGGATTAATGATGAATTTTTGTCGTCCCAGCAATTAGAGTTTAAGTTTATGTTATCATAGACGAGGGTTTTTAAGTCGCTCAGGAGGTTTCGTGCCGTCTCCTGTTGTTTTCGACTGGCATCAAGCCAAATCACAAAGTGGATGCGATGCATTTGAGCGTCGTGCATCGAATCCCTAGATCTGGCAAGAAGAGACAACTTTTCATACGTCTTAGCGGTGTCTTTGTTTACTTGCGCTATCTTGGTTTTTAACGCTCCCACGTTAGCAGGTTGCAAATGTCGAAACTTCAGTCGAGCATCCATTGAGCCTACCAACAATTGAAAGGATCACTTATATCTCCTCACTGATTTAGTCTAGTCTTCAAAAACAAAACAGGGCATTTTTTACCTTGCAAATACTCATCTGGAACTATATTATGTATCAGTAGGACTCATATCTGAACACGACAGTCAGGTGATCGGATTTTTCTGTGTTAAAGAAAAATCAACAATGTCCCCGAAGCCCTCAGGAGCAATCAAAAACTTCCAACCCAATTTAACATGCAAATTTGCTCAAAATAGGCAGAAAGTACTAAATAATTTACTAGCAGTACAATTATTATGAACTTCTTAATAGTCAGTAGTGTTTTAAATATGCAATGAAATTCTCTTTTATGGGATCTAACGCTACAGCGCTTTCTAACGTCGCTTTATAAACAAAACTAAATACGGCTTTTCAGCAGGCATTTCCACTTTCATTTGGCTTAAGAAATTATATGACTAAATAACGGAACATCAACGATTTGTTCATACTTTTGCACGATTGTGATTCACTTACGTGAAGGTCATGGATGTTTCTATAGCAGCACGGCTTTCATTAAAATTGCTGTCTTTTCAATCGTCATTGAGTTGTTAAAAATTTATCTGCTTACTAAGACAGTCAAATATTACCAGAGCAATTATTTTAAGCTACTCAATGTCTTTACTAGCAGTTGCACATTAAAAAGCTATTTCCTTATATTTTGCCTACTATAAAAGAAGCATTTATTGGTGCTTTTTCAGTTAATTACTTGTAAACATTCTTTATAAACTAAAGACTTTGAAAAAATTTTTGTCCCATACTTGCCTTTGTTGCAATTTGCAACATAAGTAGGGCAATTGTACATTGTTCTCACCATGGTCAAAATTTAACAGCAAACTGTTACGCAATTTCGATACCTTATATTGCTTTTAGAATTCCACTAATTTTATTTACTCAAATTAATTTAAGGCTTTCAAATAGCCGGATTAGGTAGAATTTGCGATTTCAACCTGGAAGATAAATGGAACTGATATTAGCGGATTCCACCTAGCAGCGATGAACCACTAACTTAATTATCCAATGCCAAAAATGCACAAATTTAAGTCGCCAACCGCCGAAAATGTGAAACTGACATCAATGCTTAGTTCCAGGATCTGTCCCACCATGAGGGGTAGATGTAAATAGCTTGGTATATACAATGGATTTACCCCCACGTGGTCTGGTAAAATGTGATGACAACAGGGAGCGTAAGTGGTGGCAATTGGCATTAAAGTTTGCACGAGAAAACAGACAGGCTATGACGAAACTCCGTCGTCAGTATTTTGAATCGTTCATGACTAAAGCAACCAAACTCTTTGAAGAGCAAACGTGTGGGATGCTGAAAGGGGTGGGTGAATAAAAGAGTAAATAATTTGACGGATGCAGAGATCAATATGCACCAGAAATAAGCAGGTGGCTCGATGGATGGATGGATGGATACGGGACGGATGGCTACAGGAATAGTGCATTGATAGATGGATGGGTATACGTAGGTTAGATGAATCAAGGAGCGATTAGTCAATGAGCTTCAGGAATAACAGGCCCTGATGACAGCACAGACTACGGAAGGTAGAACTAAAGATGAATGGATCTCCGATGGTTTCATTTAGCTTACACTCTATCGCAGAACCAAAGCGGTTGTACAGAATTCGTGGAACATCAACAAATCTCACTGCTGGTGAGTTTTTTCACTAGCTAACGAACGCCCCCACACAACATCGGCAAATCCAGTTCAAATACGTCGTTCCAACCTAGAAAGTAAGCAATGCACTTGGACCTTTAAGTGGTGACCGAAATCGTGCATTATTGTGAACTAGAAGTAGTTACATCAAAGCCAGATGATTTTGACATCTCCTTTAAAATTGACAGAGGTCCGACATCTATCAATTTCTATGCGCAAAGTCACCTGTCAGAGTACCAGAAGGTGGAGTGTGCAGATAATGCATACCTTGACTCAAAGCAAACACTTCATAACTGCTTTTCACCACCCAACCACTTGAAACCCTAGTTCAGAGCACTTACACAGCGTCCGAAAGGTAATTAGTGCTGAGTGAACTCTGCAAGTGCGTTGGAGGTGGTGCTACAAGGACATCCTTTAATGGTGTGTTTGTGCGCACTAACTACGCACCTCATCCACCCTTACCTTCTTTGGAGGCTGGCAAAACTCAGTCGAAATTGACCACCCTTAACAGGTTTTAATTTTCTTTCCTGTGTGGTCTTTTATTACTTGGGGAATCGGGAGTCATGCGTTGCTAAGGCTAAGGGAGGGAGAGGGGACCACCTGCCACCCACTTCTGTGCGTGTTTTATTCACCACTCAATACCCCTGATTAGCGTGCGCGATTAAAAGTTTGGCAGTTAAATACCGCAGCCCAGGGTTTTCTCTGTCACGAGGTGGCAAAAAAAGTCGTGGTAAATAATGTCACTTTTCACTGACCAATGAGAGGGCCAATCGATATTCGTGTGACAGACAGGTGGCAGCAGAGTTACGCGCACGCACGAAATCGGTGAGGTGAACAGGTCAAATGAACTAATGCATAGTCTTGTTTAAGGTCACTGCGAAGCAAGGAGAGGCATTAGATAATCTCAGGAGACTGGGTTCCATGATTTAGCAGACAATTCAAGCGTAATAAATTAGAATTAAGCAAGTCACCTCAATGGTCTGTCTCACTCCCATGACTCATTGCCGACGTGGGAAGGTAAAAGAGCCACCAAATAGGCAGATTCCTGCTTTTTTAAAAAGGGGTTGGGATGATTCGTTTTATTGTCTCTTCACCTGCCGCAAAGTGGAATCAAGCCTATCATCTGCGAAAAGCGAAATTTACATTATGCGTGGTATCATAATACAAGTGTAATTCTCACAAACCATGGGAACCTTTGTGTTACCATCAGGCGGTGAAATTGCTACGCTCGCATAGATCAACGGTGAGTGAAGCAATCGGTAATTGATTGGCTTTTCCCACTTTTTTGATTTCTTTTTGGTAGGATAAAAAGAAAGGAAAACTGTTTTTAGGCTAAAAGACGGGTGGTGAGGAGTAGGGGCGGACAAAAGGGTTAGGTCTGATCTCGTTGCTGGGCTAATTTGCAAGCCTTATGGATTGTTAAGTTAAACAACAAATGAATTTGAGACAGTGAATGGTGGTGTGTCTTTTTGACGTCTTAATTAAAGTGCGAAATGTCCTTTTTTCCAAATCGCGAATTCAAAATCGTGTCATGCGCACATGCGCATGTACCAGTTAGGGGACCAAGCGTTACTGTGATTACGAGGGTTGGCTTTTCACAAAAAAGAAAAGGAAAATAAAGACGGGAAGGGAATTAACGAAAAAGGTTAAAAAGGAAGGAAAGGAAGAAAACTGGGAAACACTCATCTTTAAATCCACGTGGGTGGTCTCGTGAGTCTCAACTCACCCGCCTCGTAAAAGCGCTGCGACGACGCGGCTAACAGCGCCGGCGCCAACGTCGCGAACATAGCTCACCGCCCTGTGAGGCGAGTGCAAAGCGCGTTTTTCCGTAGAAAAGTCGATAAATCAATCGATAAATCAATCTGCGGTAGGTGGGTTCAACTTTCGGCCTCGTGGCTAGAGCAGTGACGAGGGTGGGCAAAAAGAGACAAGGAAATTAATCGACTCGGGAGACATCATCAAAACTACAAAATAAGTCAAACCTTTTGGTGTTGTAAACAAACGAGGAAAGGGTGGAGAAAAAGTGTTCACAATGCAATTCGATATGTGTAAAAATGATGCGTGGGTTTAACAGCGCAGTATTACCACCCAAACAGTCATGCAATTAATGGGGGTAGAGCGAGAGAGAGAGAGAGAGGGATCCCGTGGGTCGTTTTTGATTGCACTGAGTAATATGTGCATACCAGAGATTTCACAGTATAAGGACGCACTCGAAGGCACGTCGAGAAGGCGATGAGTCATACCACACAGGCTTGGTTAGGTCAAAGGTAAGACTGAATGAGCGAGTGAAGCGATGCAAGGTGGCGTGGGGCAGGGGTGAGGAGAGGCCGCCCAAACCAAATGCCCACAGGCCAGACCAGACCAATTTAAAAACCTCTGCGCGTACAGGATGGCCCTCTTGCCAGAAAGTTAATTTTCCTGTGAATTTAGCAAATCTTTCGAAAGCATGACAGTTTCGCCTACCTGTCATAATCTGATAGCAATACTTCACGAGAACCACAGCCCATTCATATGTGGTGAAATCGTCAATTAACTCAACATATAGGTCACCACTAATAAGACAAATCACACCCTCAACGCGTGGAACGGTGCCCTCTGTTCGGTTAGCGTAATTTGAGTCGTAACTTAGCAACAGACAGAGGGAAAAACTAACCAACTTATCGGCAACATTGTCTACATTGCAGCATTACAAATAGACTTTTTTTATTCGGCAGAAGCACCAACAGCTGGAATAAGCGGGTACCCACATTTTTAGGGATAGGTGAGACACCGAGCACCGATAATTAAGAAGACGGGAGGTGCACCTCTAGTGCTTGCAAGAAATGTGTCCTTTCAAAAGCTAGAACCACGACTACCCACCCGTATCACCACTAAACCTTAAGCGCAGTATTGAGACGCCTGCACATTTGCTGGTGACGATTTCGACCGCAACCGCTCGCGCTCCTCCCTCCCGCGCCCAAGGTCTCATAACCTGGCGCCCGTGGAGTCGCGCAGGCGACGAATCCGCCCAAAGGCATTTACAACTTCAGCTCAGAGCTTGAGAATTGAACCGTACCGATAAATCTTAATGTCACTGAAGCCACGCTGCCAGGAGAATCAAGTCCTGTTTGGATGGGCATCTCTTGGCTTATCACCACCTTCTATCAACCACGCCAGACACCCAATCAAATAGGTGGAGAAAAGAATGAACCCAAACACCACTCAGAACTGAACAAGGAAAAAGACCTCAGAGTAATACGCGATCTATATTACAATTACCGTACATTGCTTCTTCATAATAGCACGTGGAGTGGGAGACAGAATTGAGGTGCTTGAGTTCAGCGGTTGTGTGAGTGGGAAGGTGGGTGAGTGATTGAGACAAAAGAAAAGGAGGATCCTGTCACGGTGACAGAGAACACTTCAAGCTCTCATTCCTCACAAAAAAGAGGAAGAGAAAGAGACGGAGGAAAGGAGAGAGAGGAGTGCCTTAATCGATTCGTCGCCATCACCAGCCAAGTTGATAGAATCAGCATCGCCTCCCAACACCGCGAAACATCCGTGTGACACAGCAGTAGTACCACAAACCACGGCTCCAAAGCAATGCAAACGACGCAGGGGAGGCGATTTTAGAAACGCGTGTAAAATGTGCATTCGTTATATCAAGTGGGTGAAGCAGTCGCTTTTTTTTCGGGAAAAGGGAAACCAAACAAACCAACACACACGCACACACGAGAAACGTAGGAGAGAATAGTCGCAAAAAAAAAACATTAGGGACAAGGACCCAAAATGGACATAGAGAAAGTGAGAGAGCAAGAACACCAGAACGACTACTGCTGCTTCTGCTGCGTTGGCGGCGGGGGAGGAGGTGCCTGCTGATCTTCAACGGCAGCAGAAGTCGGTGGCGGCGGTTGCAAAGGTGTTGGGATTGAGGAGGCGGTAGCAGTAGCCGCTTGTGTCGGTTGGGGACGCAATTGTGGTGACTGAAAGGTCGCCTGTGACGCTTGGTGGAAGGGAGTAGATGCCAGCCATGTGGCAGCTGGGTTACTGCTGTTGTTGTTAATGTTAGTATTGTTGGCGGGCGCACCACCTGGACCGCCGGGTTGGTTGGGCCAGGGGCAAAGGTTAGCCAGAGCGGCAACTGCGTTCGCCATCAGGGATTGCTGTTGTTGTTGTTGCTGCGATGGTCCACTTGAAGCTCCCAGACCACCAGCTGAAACAAAACGAATATTATTAAGACGTATCCCGACAACTTTGAAAGCCGTGGAATTCCCAAGAATTGCTGTGATCTAACCGAGGAGTTGGCTAGTCCGCAGCCTTGAACGTCCTCGTTACTAGCGACGCAAAATACCACGAAATCAATCACCTCATGACCTTTAAGTACCTCTTGGGGGATTCGTAAAACGGACATTAATCAATCATTTGCCTCCCGTCACCACTTGAACCAATAAGTAAACACAATCCGTCACGATGGGAACTGCAAATTAAACAACTTTGTAATTGAGATGACAATCTAAGGGCTAGTAAATAGATAATTTCCATTTGTAAGGTCAAAAATAAACCAGATTGGTGGAGCAAAAACGTTTAAATGGAGCATTACCAATAAGAAATAACTTATTCAGTGAAAAGAGAAAACCAGCAAACCAGTAATCACACTTAAATTTGCTGCATCTCAATAATGCCGGCGAGCTTAATATCCCTGGCACATGGTAACCATAGCAAAAAATGTGGAAGTTCAACTACTGACGGGGAGGTCGTATTTAATTACCTGTATTTACCAAAACAACGCTGATAATTGATACTCAGGCAATGTCCAGATCAAACGAGAGAAACGGTTCAAAACAAAGTACGGCGATAAGCTTCGTTTCAGCAGGTAATTCTTATTTCCAAAAGAGAATGGGAAATGAGAAACTTGAGTGATCCTATAACAGACAAGTTATCAACAAAATGAGAGCGTAAACTTACATAAGCCCTGTGACCAAAAGGAGCTTTGATGCTGCAATGACTGCAGAGTCTGCGGCCACGCGGAGCCACCACCAACTGTCGGCTCTTGCAAGGTTTGTTGATGCTGCTGGTGTTGCTGTTGTTGCTGAAGCAGAAGCGTTACAAACGCCTGGTTAGCCGCAGCCGCAACCGGATTGAAGACGTTCTGAGCAGCGCCCACAGATTGGCTGGTTACGTCAGTTGTTGTTGTTACAACGCCAGGGGGGTTAGAGACACCCTGTGGACGTCGCCGTTCAGCTCCAATCGGAGTGGGCTGCGGATGAGGCGTCGTCGATTGGGCTTCCTGTTGCTGTCGCTGCGGTAGGGGTGGATAAACTCGTCCAACCGAAGAAAAAGCGTAGTTGGAACAACCACCACCACCACCAGAAGGCAAGGTGCTACCGGGTCCAGGATAGGTAGCATGTCCACTTCCACTTGTTCCGAGGTACAGTGACTGATCCAGAGGTAGCTGAGAGGATGACAATCCCAGATTTAAGGACTGGTGATGGTGTTGCGGATGTTGCTGTTGCTGCAAGAAGGCTTGCTGTGATTTGGTCTGAAGATTACCGGATGGCTGTTGAACCATCTGTTGTGCACCGTTCACCGGATTTAGTCGAGACGAAAGGAAAGCATTCGAGGGATTATTATTGTTACTGTTGCTGATAGAGGAGGTAGAATTAGCGCCGTTAAAGAGTGCATAGTCGCGTTGTGCAAAGACACTGTTGCTGCCACCAACCCGATTCGGATTCGAAGCATTGGAAAAAGCTGCAGCCATGAAGGAGTCGGCGGCGGTGGTGGATGAAGCAGAACCGTTTGGTTTGCAAACAACACTTCCGCCTCCACCTCTTCCAAGCTGACTCTGCTGTGATAAACGATAACTTGACTGGAGGTGAGGAGGAAAACCATTGTCTTCCATCATTGCCGCATTTACGACAGACTCAAAATTGCGAACTCCCAGATTTTGCAGAAGATTTGCGTAGTTTGAATTTGCATTAACACCACTACCTGGAGCAGTACTCGGGTTGGCGCCACGTCCACCTAGATAGTCATAGGAAGAAGAGAAGGAGGCGTCGTTTCCACCAGCAGTTCCAAAGTTGGACCACATGCCGTTGGGGTTTACATCGAATTGGTTCAGCGACGTGGATGCCGGTTGAAGCATTGATTGTTGGGAGGTGGGGAAGAGCGCTTCCAAATTCTCCACGGTGACGAGTGGTTGAGGCAGCGGATTCAGAGACCCAGAGGTATTGCTCGGACGACTAGGGAAAAGGGAATCGCTGCCACCGCCACCACTACCACCACCACTACCACCAAATGCCACGGTCGTTGTGGGATTAACACGTTTCATTGCAGCAGGCCCAGCTAGACTAGTAGTCACACCTGACGTGGTAGAGGAAATGGTGGCGGAAGTGACCCCGGCATGTCGATTAGCACTCCTCTCCGAGCCTGGAGCCCGCGCGAATGGACGAGAAGAGCCAATAGGAGCAGGTTGAGGACGGGATACAGGAAGAGATTTCGATATTTGGAGTGCGGACACATCTCCAGAACCTGGGATTGCAGTGGACTCGGACGGTTTACGGGGTTTCTCGTCCATCAACCCACCAATACCACTGCAACCACCTGGAGCCGCGGCACCAGCACTAGAAGCTGAAGCAGCAAGGGGCGGTGAAGAGGTTGAAGCAGAGAGTGATGCACTAGCGTCAGTCTGCAGTGTCGGCAAACTCAATTTACGGGGCGGAGCAGGCACAGATTCAGTGGCTTTGTTTGCCACCGCAGTAGAATTCGACACAATACAAGCCAAAGTGGTTGAGAGTGGTGGGAAACTCTGTTCATCCAAGAGGGAGATTGGAGCAGTTGAGAAGATGGAGGTATTCTTGGGACACTCCGAAAGAGCAGCGATGGTGACCGAGAGCAGAGAAACCGGATTCGATTGGGCTGGTGGCTGTTGTTGAGCAGATGGAGACAATATCGATGTGGACGATTTGATCCGGTTCTTAGACTCCTTGGACGCGGCCGACTGCTGTTGTTGCAGTTGTTGTTGAGGAGACGAAACAGCACCAGCCGCTGCCACCGACGCAAAGTTGCACCTCTGCGTAGTTTTGGATGTACCCCAAGAGGTGGATTGTGAAGCAACAATTTTTGAAACGTTACTGTTGTTTGAGGTGGATGCCTTAATAGCTAAGTTTGGATTCGTCACCTTCGCCATCATGAGCGGCTGAGGGGCGGGAAGACTCTGAAGTGGGATAGCTTTCGTTGTCGAAGAAATAACCCCGCCCAATCCCATCTTTCGAGATGCAGAAGCAGCCCCTCCAACACCCCGGCTAGCACCGTTGGAGGGTGTGGAAAATGAAGAGTTTGTACCCATTTTAGTGGTTGTTTTAGCCCTTGCTATAACTTCATTTCCAGCCAAAACACCAGACAAGAGATCCTGAATCATCTGGTAGGTCCGATGAACAATTTCTCCGGGTCCTTTTAGGTAAACCATTCTCTCTGTCACCTCATCACCTCGCGCACTTTCAATATCAATCTGGATACCAGACATACTACGAAGAGCACTCACAACGGCCCCACCTTGTCCGATGATCTTACCAATATCATGCTTCGACACAGATATTGCGATCTTCCGTTTCGCTGAGCCGCCAGATCCGGAAGAACCACTGGTCCTCCAGTCACTTCCGGAGAAGGTATCAGTTTGGCTAACCATGGAAGTAGGAACACGATGGCTTCGGTTACTGCTAGTGGGTTGAGCGACCAACCAATCATTTCCCGCGGTGGAATCGGAGGAATGATCAAAAGCGGAGGCATCCCACAACACAGAATCACCTACTTCGGCCTCTGCGGTTGTGATGCTTGCCGTGGGCGACATGGCAGCTTCAAGAGTCTGCTGAGTAGCAATAGACTTGGTTCGCTGAGACTGCTGCTGTTGTTGTTGTTGTTGTGACTGTCTCTTGGAGCGGTTCTTCTCGCGTTTCGCCTCAGTAAAGTTGGATTGAGAAGGCATGGATTTACTCGTATCAAGTTCTTTTTGGCTCGGTTGCTCGGCCGTTTGCGCCTGAGGAGTCTGGTGTTTGTTCTTCTTCTTCGAAGACGCAGGTTCAAATTTGCGCTGTTGCTGTTGTTCAGAGCTTACAGGAGGAGCTTCAGCAGCATTATTGGAAGACAACGAAAGTTTATTCTGGCCAGGTTGTTCAACAGGGATAGATTCTTCTTCCTCAGGAATGATCTCGGCTTGTTTTCTGAAAGGGGAATAAGACCAAGTGCGAGTGATAGTGTAGGAGTAGAGATACCAGCACAGATATTTGCATAAATGCAAACGCACGATACCCAGTGACTAAGGGAAATGAGCACATACAATACACACACACACGCCAGACATCAACCAAAACCTCGATTGTGTCACCTAAAATTACTATTGCATGGCTACAACAAAGTCAGACTTACGCAGAAGATTGCTCTTCAGTTAATTTAGTCGAAGGGATATTTTTCAAGGCGACTTCAGAAGCAGCAGCGGCGGCTGCAGCAGCAGCTTTCTCCTTGGCAGCCTCAGCAGCTGCTGCGGCCTCCTGTTTCGCCCTCCGCTTATTACGCTTCCTCTCTCGTTTCCGTGCCTGCATCGCTTCCTTATTGGCGCGTTCCTCCTCCTCTTGTTCAATCTGTTCCAATAAAACGCTGGCATTTTTCCTCGCTTCTCCTTCTTGTTTCTCTTTTGCAGCTGAAATGATCTTCCGGCACTGCTGACACCTTTCTGCCAACTCCTGAAAGAAACATCAACGTCAGATACCTCCTGCTAAAAAAACTTGATCTTATCTCTTCAAAACTCTAGGGGAGCAAACGCCGCCATAAATATAGACCTTCAAAGTCGGACCATAACTTCCGATTGCATGGCTAAAGAAGACATCACACTATGGAAGGTGGCGTACGTCCTGAGGCAGTTTGAATACCACTACTCAGTGGTTGAACAACCATGGAACACCGCATAGGGATACGTTTCCTGCCAACTAAAGTGTAAAATCCGGACCTACGAATACTTAATCGTGCCTACAGAACACCTCGAGCACAGTAAGGTACGATGAAGGAGGGTTCAGAACTAAGAGATTCAAAAGACCGGAAATCTCACAAATAATCACACGACCGTCCGTCCGTCGGTGACTACTCCAGCCGTGGTGCTTCGCTTTCAGCCCCCTCCCCACCTGAGCCTTCAAGCATAACCCATTGTAAGAGCCCACGGGAGACGAGTCCTCCTGTGTAGTCATCCACGAGCTTCACAACTTAAATAAGTTAAAGCCGTACAGAAAAACCTTTCCACATGAAAGACGCTTTGTAGGTACTAGTTAAAACACACTAGGATAGGCGTACAAAAGAGTGCACCTTACATCCACCAAAATTTGCGCTTTCATAAACCGAAAAGTTTAGGTCTAACTTGAACTGGATTACTACCGCTAAGTGAGGAATCCATTAATTTGAAATGACCTCTCATTAGGTTGTAGCCCCAAAAGTAACAGCAGCTAGCGCACAAGCGTTATGAGGAGAAGGGGTAGAGAGAAGCCTGTGACACTCAATGAGAACGAAAACACACGATTGGCGCGTGTGCGGCTACGATTGAATTCTACCATGCATAAACACAGAATAAAAAGATCATGTGCGTTCCGGGCACGCTTGGATAGAGGAAGGGGGGAAAACTAGGAGATGCACACATTCACACGAATTCGAGGCAAACTACGGAGGTAGTCAATTAAAACGGTGCGTGCGTGTGGGTATGAGGACATATTTGCGCTCTCAGGGTAGTCAACTTCAAATTGAGAGTAAAGGAACTATAAGCAATTTTTTCACGCGAAAATTCAAGGAAAAGATACATCACCATTTTTTGATTTCAAGAAAATTAACACTCTCGATCCTAGAGAAGATGATTGACCAATCCCTCGTAAATTAATATTACTAATGTGCAATAAATTTGGCGCAAATGGGGCGATTCTACCACTCAAAAAGGTCCTAGCCTTCTTAAGGATGAAATTAGGAACTACCAAATGTGAATCCTCTGTGGCAAGAGCAGTGACCTAGAGATTCGTTCCAGGTCATAGGGTACGAGTGGCGTCATTTGAGTTCGTGCAAGACTATAGATGGAAGATGCTTGAACAGTCTCAAAGGTGTTGTATCAATTAAAAAGCAAATTAACTGTCACAAAATAGTCAACTGAGAGGCAGTCCAGATTTGCCCCTGAATTGTCAAACGCCATCGATTATTTTCAAATGAGCAAAAATCAATATTCAGGCGTCATTCAAAAAAAAACACCAAGAGTGGACAACTTTGGTCAAATGTCACCCCGAACTCGTCGACTAGATGGGGTTCCAGATAGTAAAAAATTTTCCCGAAGATAGATCAGTGATCACCTGCTAAAGGAAAAGAAAAACAAATTCCGAAAACAAAAGTGCGACTGCACAACTGGCACACCACAGTCAGAAGTCATTTGCATAGCTTTTGGTGCGTGTGCTTGCACGAGTAAGAAGTTCCACGAAAGTACGAACACCTCACACACACGCACAACACGACGCCTTTTAATTTGTTCGCAAAGAAATTAACAATCCACCGCCATTGCCCATAAGTACCCACATAAAATTTCTAAGCCATCTGACAGGTCACGCTAAAATAAGACCGTAAAGGTGCTGGTAGCACTCAACGATAAAGCAGCCACCAATCGAGGGTAGGATGGTGGCATAAGTGGTAGGGTTAGAAGGGCCCAAAGTCCAACTCCATTACACCACTCCACCACTCCGCCAGCCAACGCGATACCACTAGACACACAAGGACGCGTACACACACATTCACCAGGAGATTTGCGCGTAAGGAGGCACGCGCTGGCAGGGCGAAATTTAGCAGCGAGGTGTCACGTGACTTCCCTCAGCCTCTAGCTCCAACTGCCCCAGCGCCCTGCCCACTCAGTGAGGCTTCCGACAGTTGTGACACGACTTCCAGAAAGTGCACGCGGACGATGTAATAGCAACAGAGGCAACAACAACTGGCATTAGGGTCACAACGAGATTGGGATATTTATTACCCTAGACGGAGGATAGGTATATGTTAATGTGTCCTAATTTGTGCACCTGGGGTCACTACTGCGGGCGAAATGAGTCATCCCCACGTAAATGTGTCGCCACAGCACGCTTAAGAAGTCGAGCAGAAAACTAGCACCGGAGGGAGAGCGTGCCACCACCAGCGAAGAGAAAGCTAGACAGTACAAGTCACCATAAAGTCGATAAAGACAGACGGGACGGCGGATTTCTTGCCTCGTTCTGTTGTTTGACAAAATAAGCAAGATTCTAGAGAGCAAATGTCAACAAAGGAACACATGATTAACTTGAGAGACGAAGAAGAATAAACAACTCGTGAATCCAAAAGAAGGAACTAAAAGCGGTCACATAATTTGTGTCTAAAAGCGCATATTTTCAGTAACTTTTTAAGCAAACGTTGATTCAGACAGGTATAATGACTGGAAAAGGGTAAACGGTCCACTTAATAGCTCCGTCAAATGCTGAACACAAACCGACGGCGATCCATAGCTGTAGTTTCGACACCCGTGTGCACTTAAGATTTGAAAAGGACATAACTGCTAACACAAACGGTTCAAACATCATAAAATAAATCTACTTTTAGTAAACGATCTCAATCAACGAGCATCCCATAAATTGCAATAGACCGACCGATTCTCGCATCTAAATCCTAATGTAGGGAGGTTAAGTGGTTTGTTCTAAATAAAAGCACCCGCCGCTTAATGACATTCCAAGATCAAATGTCGAAAAGTGAAATACATGTAGGATACACACAGAACAGGATGGTTTTTGAATCCATATAATGGAGTTAGGCAAAGACAAATGACTTGATGAGAGGAAATCTTAAAGGCTAAAAGATAAGCTTACCGTTCTCTCGGATTCAAGTGCATTCAGAATATAATAGATGATAACGGTAGCGATCCAACGACAAAAAACACGAAAGGAAATAGAGTAGCTGTCAATCCACTGGGAGCTAGTAACATCTGAACAATATGTAAATACCACAAAGTAAACATGCAATCGACGAAACGGACCACGCAACTTCTCGCTTTTTGAACCAGGGCTGATCAACAAGCACCCTGGGGATTTCAGTCGAGGCGCACAATAAGCGATTAGGCTGACAACCAGAAAAACATTTGACACACAATTTGGCAAGAGAAGTCACTCTGAAAATTCAAAATTCACGTCACCTACATTATAAAGGAATAAATAATCCAAACACCTTCCCAAGAGGGTGGAATAGAGGCATTTTCCAACAATCGACTAACTACAAATAACTACAGTAAAAGAAGTGGGGAGGAGTAGAATCCATCAGTTGTAGAGAGCAGTGCTTAAAAATCGCAAAAGAAGAAAGTCCAAGTCAACCTCCAAATAGGTACTAATGACTTAAATTATTTCGAGGTTCAGAATAAATTTCGACAATCCAAACCTCAAACTGCAACTGACATAATGCACTAAACGTGCAGAAATTGTCACAACTTTCCAAACAATCTAGTACCGTCAAGAACCCACCAAAATAAAAAAAAACAACTCTACTACAGTGAGCCCTCCTCACGTGAATAGAAAAACAGCTATCTTCGAAGCAGGTGCCACTTACATCGAAATTAGCGTTTATTGTATCCCTGAGTATAAAGGACGCCCTAACAAGGGGCGGTGAAACAGAGGAGACAGGAACAGGCTCAATGCCAAAAAGCACTCCCACATTCTGCTGTAAACAATCGTTTCCACCTCCACTGTTCGACTGCGACGTTGTCATCGTCAGTGACGCCTGGGGAAAGAGACTGAGGTGATCGAGTTTCGAGGAAAGAGGATAAAGTAACTCCGAAGGTGGCTTCTTAGCCGTGGCAGCGGAAAGCCGATGGGTCAGCATGGCACCACGAGCATGGAGGGGATGATGAAAATCCAACAATTTCGCACTCCCGCCCTGTTCCCTACTAGGTTGAAATGCGATTACTACGTTGTTTTGACGAAAGTGACAAGAGTAGCAGTGCTGGTGAAGAATGCAGGAGAAGCGGCAGTTGATACGGAAAAGGTTGATCATCGAAAGTTCCACAGCCTCTGAAAAGAGGACTCTTGCCTTATGTCTTAATGTGCGATAACCTGACGCACGCTACAGCTGCTACCGTTCGTCGTGTGACGTGGACAGCGCAGCCTCGTATGCACTATGCCTATCACATACGAGCACACACGCACGCGTCTACCCACCAATAAAGACACAGGGCTTGCTGAACTAGCGTTGTGATTGGCGCGCCGCAATGAGTGACTAATGCACCTGGTTGGTGCGAGACACAAACAAGACGAGCAACATCGCCACCACGTGCGCGCCAACCCACCAATAGAAGGCGGCAAGGCGGGTAACCGGAGAAACTATTGGCGTACATAGATGAGCGACTGAGGCGTCTCACTGGTGCGGAGTGAACAAAATCAGCGGCCGTGCGTGCGCACGCACAATCGAGTCAGCGAGTGAGTGACCACCACAGGTGTAGCATTTTCCCGATTTGTTTCAACATGCTACTCATATCACATTCAGCAAAATGAGTTTGATTGTTAAAATTATGCGGCCGAGCAAAGATAACCTGTTTGGGGGACCGAATAGCTACAAGGATGAAGTTAACATAAAAAGAAAATGACAAATTTGATGAAATTCAAATGAGATGCAGCAGCAGTACACCGGACCGCGGTTTCAGACTTCGCAAATAAATCGAGGAGAGGGCAATAACAAAAAGACAGACCTTTGGTCACTTAAAAACAGACTCCAGGAATCACTAGGGCTTTCGCAACACGAAAAAAACGACCCGACAAGCTCCACCAGACTTGGATTTGGAGTTAACTTGGAACGTACGTCAGTAGCCTAAAGACAATCTTTGTGTCAGTAACTTTCATCAAAAGGCATTAGGGAGATCAAAAAAGTTGCTAAATGATAAAAGTGGACGAGAAGGCGAGATTAATGGAAAGGCCTGTAATTGCAATGAAATCCAGGTAATATGAGTAGTTCAAGACTAAACTGCACCGAGAGCCAAATTGATAAGCGCAAGGATTCCGTCAGGACAAAAGGTCGCGAAAGAAGCAGGCAACTTTCAATGTCGTAGATACAATTTGTCACCTTATCATGCGCAACGACTTTGATGTGACGCTGGCAGTCCTTATCGGAGGGAAATTGAGTGACATGTTGCACCAACAGACTGACGACCTTCACATGACCTTTGCGGAACGCCGCCATGAGACAGCTGACCTTGCGGTTGTCCTGGCTGTTCACGTCCGCTTTAGCAGATATCAGCCGTTCTACAACCTCCAGGTGGCCTCCTAAAATAAAGCCACATTATCAGCAATAGGAAGGAGAGGAGAAATCTACTTTGTAGTTATGATAACTCACCATTGCAGGCCAGCCACAGTGAGGTCGCACCCTTCTTATTCCGGGCTTCCACTATGGCGCCACTAAGACAAACGTTAAAATAATAGTTACTTATACACGTTTAAGTAAACGCACTTTATAAGATTAAACACCTAAACTTACTGCTTTAACAACAGCTCGACAAACTCCGTCTTCCCTTTGTCGGCCGCGATTGTCAAGGCAGTATCTCTAGAACTGAGCACTGGGAGAGAGTTGACGTCGGCCCCATGCTCCAGGAGAATACATCCAACCTTCACATGGTTACCCGAAGCCGCTTCCATAAGGGGAGTTAGTCCCGTCTTGGCGCGATGCTCAATGTTGGCGTTGCGCTCCACCAACAACTTCACAACCTCATGCTGACCCTGGAAACAAGCCAGAGTGAGTGCAGTATTGCGATTCGTCTCAATCTGCGCGTTGATGTCAGAGCCGTGCTCTAGAAGGACCCGAACTGCATCTGTATAGCCGTTCATTGAGGCTAACATTAACGGCGAGATGCCCAATTTTGAGCCTGTTCGCGAGTTTATCTCTGCACCATGACGCAGTAATAATTGGATTACGTCAACAAAACCACCGGACGCTGCTAGACTAAGCGGCGTGTAGTCGGAAAAATTTCGGTGCTCTTTGTTTGCCCCGCGATTCAGTAAATCCTCGGCAATCTGAAAAAAAAAATAGTCGTGAACTGTCACCGGAAATTTGAAAAAAACTCAAAAAGAATCGCATACGTCCAAACGACCATGAGAACAAGCGATCGATAGAGCGGTATCCTTGGTACGATCCACCTGAGCTTCGATATCCACGCCGTAATCGAGGAGCAGAGTCACGATGGCACGCTGACTGGAGTAGACGGCGGTGTGGAGAGGTGTGTGGGATTTCTTATCTCGATGCTCCTTGTCAGCACCTCGTTCCAGCAGGAGTCGAGCCAGATCCACGAATCCCCCGCTACAAGCTAAGGTGAGTGCAGACTCATTAGAGGACTCGGTGCACGCGTTGATGTCCACTTGTGGTGCGGATGCCGTGGCAGGAGGTAAAACGTTGGTCGGAGGCGGCGGTGGTGGTGGAGGTGGCGGTGGTGGTGAGGGTTGTGTGCCAACGGTGCTAGCTGATGCGGGGCAGCTCATCAGCTGATCGTAGAGAGCAGGATCTATCGATCCCGCGACGGATTTAGCTGACGTTGCTAGCGGTGGAGGGGCGATAGCAACCGCTCCAGGTGGTTGCTGGCGCAGTGCAACTTCCAGAGGACACACCCCTCCTTGCTGTTGATAGTAGACCCCAGCTGTTGGCGGAGTTACGACCGAATGAACGTCGATGAGTTGGGTGCTTGAACTGAGAATACTGCTGCTACTACCACTGCTACTGGAAGTGCTTCCTGAACTCCTAGTGGATGTGACACCGCGACCAGCCGCAGCACCTGATGAAGAAGATGTTGAGGACGAACACGAGGTAGTGGTGGAAGTGAAAGTTGTCGTAGTCGTTGGAGATGACGTGTTGGTCGGTGGAGGCGGCGGTGGGGGAGCAAAGACGTCCATGAAATCCCCGCTACCAGCGCATTTCATGAGACGCTGCTGATTGGTGAAAGCCCCAGTGGCTATTGCAGACGCCTCTGAACCTCCAGAACTAGCGCAGTTGATGGCAGCACCAACACTACCAGACGCACGAACAGCGCCAGCGTTGTTAACCGGACAAGCCATAACACTTCCAAGGCGGTGCAAGAATTCAGTACTGTCGCCTTTCCATTCATGGAAAAGTGCCATGAGTCTAGAGCTAAATTCATCAGTACAAGGAATATGTGGTAAATCCGCGAGACTATCAACAGCAGCCTCATCCCCTACTACTGTCTTCGACGCAGCGGCTTTATCCCCAACCTTGATCTGCAATTTCTGCGTTTTCTCCAAAGCTGGGCAGACGTGAGCATCCCCACAAACCTGGAGGGAGGCAGCCTGCTGCTGCGTCCTTGAAGCAGCTCCATCTGCCCACCCTGCAGCATAAGCGTTTGCCAAAGCCTCCTTCAATTGCGGGTTGGGTGCAGGAAGAGGCTGCATCCCACCCCTATGCTGTTGCTGATGCATAGCAACAGCCGCCGCAGCAGCTGCATGCTGATGCATTACCGCAGTTGCAGCCTCCATGGGAATGCCTCCCGGAGCACCATTCTGGAGTTGCTGCAGTGGTTGCTGTAATGGCGGAGGTGGAGGAGGCTGGTGGAGTGATTGAGGCGTAGGAGCAGGAGTTGCAGTGAGGGCCATTGTGAGACTAAGAGGGTAGTCAATGATGAGTCTAGCGACCGTTGGCGAACCGGATCGTGCACATTCGATGACCATTGTACAACCGTCGCGCAGTTCGTGAGTCGGGTCGGCACCGTTACGAAGGAGGTATTCAACCACTTGTGCGTGACCCCCGTTGCAGGCAAGGGAGAGGGCGGTAGCGTCATTCTGGGTGGTAGTCTGGTTCACTGGAAAACCACATTCAACGAGAAGTTGGACGACATCCAGGTGGCCAGCGCGTGCTGCTTTCATGAGAGGCGTTTTGGCGCCCTCAATTACAACGGGTTGATTGGGACCAGCGCCCCAGTTGATCAGCTCCTTGCAAACTTTCAAGTGACCGTTCTCAGCCGCGTAGTGAAGAGCTGTGTCACCGGACGTCGTCATTGCATGGAGGTTGGCTCCCTGATGCAGCAGACGACGCACCAGCTCCAAATGGCCCTCTTGAGCTGCCTCCATAAGAGCCGTAGAGCAACCGTTGCTGCCAACTTCTATATCCGCTCCGGCCTTCAATAATATTTCACAGATTTCCACGAACCCACCGCATGCTGCTAGGGTTAGCGCCGTCTCCTGAGTCTCTTCAGTCTTTGCGTTGACGTCGGCTCCTATAAAAAAGGATAAGATAATGTACTTCCCATGACAACTTCAATGATAACTTAGGAGCTGCAATAACATTCATCCGATTAAAATAAAGCAAAGGCAATAGATACACGGGTGCACGTGTGTCTATTGTAACAAACAGGTGTATGTATTTTGAATCACACAAGTTACTCGTTGTAGGCTCCACCCTTTGAGCTACACAGGAATTTTGAGCAATGAACTTTAAGAGTTCTTTAAAAGCAGGCATAAAAAAAAATAGACGAGTACCCAGAAGCTAATCTCAATCAAACGAATGATTGGATTTGAGTGACGTGTAAACGCTGCAAATGAAATGCTGAACCGATGTAAGCACGCAAGCGAGCACACACAAACATATACACAGAAAATACCAAGAGGTCAAGCCGATATAATACAAGCGGACGAATCAGGTGACGAGTATGCTAGCATGCGTGTGAGTTCATGCAAAGAAATAAACCAAAATACACACTAACCGGCAGCCAGAAGGACGGCGACAGTATCCTCGTGACCCTCTCTAGCAGCCTCCATAAGAGGCGTGTAGCCTTCATCATTGACTTCCTCAATGTCTGCTTCATAGCCGATAAGGAGGTGCACAAGCTCCGTGTGACCCCCACAGGCGGCCAGGGTCAGCGGCGACTCAAAACTGTCTTGTGGAATGTTCACATTGGCTCCGTGGTCAAGCAATAGCCTGGCCACCTCCACATGACCTTCCATGGCTGCTTCCATGAGGGCTGTGTGCATCTCGTCGGTCCGGTGTTCGTGTGAGGCGCCAGCGTCCAGGAGGAATTTTACCATTTCTGCGTGACCCTGCTCGACGAAAGATAGATGACTCGCACATAAGTGTTATGGCGAACAAATCAACATCAGACTTGAGCACGAAATTGATAAATGACACATTTGCGTTGCCAAGGCAGCCCCAAATCCCATCGCCGCCAAGATTTACCACTTCGTGCTTATATTCTTCAACAATTATTCATTGCAATGTCACTAAATATTGTGAATGCAACAAATATCGGCATGACTAGCGTGTTTATGGGTGTTGGTACAAGACTCCGTCACAATAACGTGTATCCAAATCAACACCAAAGGCACCCAACATTTTAAAAATACACCAACATCCGAACGGGCTAACTAATTAGCTAGTCAGGAGCTGGCACGCACTAAAAAGAACTCGAATATATACCTTGTAGCTGGCGAGAGTAAGAGCAGATTCCTTGAATTCTGTCGAATGGGTGTTGATGTTGGCGCCATGTTCAATTAAGCATCGAGCAACCTCAATGTGTCCATTGCTGGTGGCTTCCATCAGAGGCGTATGACCATTCTCATTTTGCTCTTCCAGTGGACTTCCATGCCTTAGAAGGAGTTTCACACAGGTCAGATGACCATTTGCGGCAGCGTAATGAAGTGCCGTGTAACCGGCAGCGGTGGTTTGCTCAACCGAGGCCCTGTACTTGAGAAGGACCTCCATCACCTGTTCGAAGCCCTCCTTAGCGGCTTCTATGAGAGGAGTTGACTCGGGCTTTTCTTCGTCAACATTAGGATCGGCCTAAAAAGGGAGTAAGCAGTAAAATAAAGATAGAAAAAAAATTGTGAAATAAGATACTTACGCCACGCTGAAGAAGGAGTTCGACGGTAGCGACAGAGTTGTTGGAGACGGCACGAGAGAGATTAATCGTTCCATCGCCTATTACTTCAGTGGAATCACATTCGGAGGCCAGGAATTTTCTCACTGAATCATCTCCACTTTTCAAGTAGGCTTGGATCAGGGAATATGTTCGACTAATAACACAGCGTGAAGTGAACAGAACAGCAAATGACAACTTACGCATTATCATCGCTCATAGCAGGAAGAATTAACTCTTTGTTCAAGTCTCTCCAGACCGTTGCATCAGTGATACGGCGTCCGTCCTTTAAAAGCATATTTTTAATTGGCGCGTTTTGAAGAAATCGACACAAATTCAGTTTAGTCTCGGGACATAAGTCGGTAATATTTTCATCAAACTAGAAAAAGGGCAATTGCACGGTTAATGTAAGACCGGTGTCAAAGTAATACTTGCTAACAAGCTAGAAGTGAAGTAATACTAAAAATATTTAAGATGGAACCTAACATTACTGTACAGAACACAATTATGAAAGATGGCAGCCTAAATCACAAATTGCAAACACTGGCAGTTAATCTAGAAGGCTTATATCAACCCAAAGCACATGAACTAGAATAACCAAAATGATATAGAAGGGAAAACTTGTTACAAGCAACCAAATAATTCCTCCGATTATCGAGTCTAAAACCCCAGCTTGTAATCTCACATACCTAAAACACATAGCTTCGGAAAAATGAATGCTGTCTGATACCATTGACGGGCGAACGGAATAAATAAGCATAAAAATATTCCCTGCAATCAAAACACCCTACGTCCGCACCTGAACATTAGGCATAGCTGCTTCATAGACCGCATGCACGAGACGTGTGAGGTATCGAACCGAAATTACATGAACATTCAAAGCCACCTCCCTCTTGTTTGAATAAGCTAAATTTTCGATCACCATTGTTTTCAATGAGATTTTTCACATTTTTTTGACTTTTAAAGCAACAAATGGCAAAGCGTGGTGAAATAAATATTTTCGATTTTTTAGACAACATTTCATGGCATTAAACTAGGTGTAGCGTAGGAAAATTAGGTAATTGACAAAAGAACGGAAGCATGGCATGCGCAAGTATGCCATGGCAGCATTTGCACTTAAGGGCCTTTCCAACTTAAGTCGCCACGCAAATTTAAGCATTTATTTTAATTTTTTATGAAGTCACTGAAATCAATGCCGTAAAAATATATTGGTGCAGTAACTTCAGAAAGCCTCTTATATTTTTGGATTTGTAATGCACTTAGGTATTTTGCAAAAAGTTAAGAGTCCAGTACTACTATTTCACCATAATTGCTAAAACGCCGAGAATCTCCCTTTGCTTTAGTCGGTTTTCTGTGATGCCTGGACTTTACGTCGAGTGAATCACACCACTTTATAAAGCCCCCAGGTTGCAAGCAATTGCCCAAACAAACATTTTGTGTTTTATTTGTATTCCTTGGTTACTTGAAGCTGAGTTTTGGCGTTTGCAGAACATTTATCCGCTTGCTAGAGTGACTGATGCCAAATAAGTTGGTAGCTCTTGGACGACGACCTACCTCTCGGATGTGTGACCCTGTGGATTTTGAGGTATATCCTTTTGCTGCCTCACACCAAATGCATCGATCGCAACACAAATCCCGTCATGTTTTCTTACCGTATCTCCTACCATAAATCCCCATTCTTCTCTTATTGAATGGGGAGGGATTATGCTGATATATCACCATTTGAATGGTTTACTAGGTGGTACACATGACCGAATCCCTAAATAATAACAACATCAGCCGATTATTATTGAAGCTACCAGCGTCAGTAGTACTTGAAGCCCCCATTTTTTCACCTTGACCCACACTTCTCACCCATGCTGGCCACCTCCATAAACCAATTTTTGTGTTTTAGGTAGCTTTCCTTGTTACTCCCTCTCCCTCTGCCACTACCATCCTTCACCTGACTACCAAGTGGATGACCTGTACCCTGACAACCTCATCAACTTCTTTTGAATAAACACGAAACGTTCGTGCACATGACGACGCCATCCAAAGAAAATGGTTTAATTTTGGCTTATTTGCCATATTTTTTCGACATTGATAGGCCTAATTTTAACCGAGAAAACAAGTTGTCCATTCGTCGTTGATGCACAAGATGCCAGCGTCGTCCGCCCTGTGGAGTTGAAAGCGTACATGCCTTGTTGGCGGCATTCACCGTGGTACTAACATGTCCACCTGCATTTCAGATCCACCGCTTTAGTGATCTTTACCTGAGCGTCCATTTACCAGCACAATTATTCCTCTCCTCTTTTTCAATGCTTTCCGAGGACTTCAGAAGTGTCTTCTTTGACATCTACTTTGGCGGTTTGTTGCCTCTGCATGTCTCCTCTCCATGCCTTTCCAGCAGCAGATCTCAACTACATCTAGCTAACAAACTGGCTGGTAAGCAGATTGCGGCCGGTAAATATTAGATTTAAGGCATTTCTTCCTTATGTGGATGGTACACTGCTCTGGTGGTGAGACGGCGGTGGGATTGATATCATCTACACATCCGCCTACACCGCAACTCGATGAAATAGCACCTCTTTGGGTATTACCTGGAAGCTGTTAACACCGAAGAGCTTATGTCAGGAATACCCAAGATTTCAACCAACTTCGCATAAGGCGATACTGTAGTGTCTGCTTAGCTCCATTCTGTGGATTCAATTAGCCACCATCACTCTCGACTCATCAGAATGTCGACTTTGGCTAGGCTAGGTGATAAGTGGTGTGATCAACGTAATCCTTCCCTGACTTTGGGTTTTCGATCGCCTAGAAAGCACTTGGTAGTCGGTGGTGGATCTGCATTTGTCACTTCAGAGTATATTCTGGAATTCGTCATAATCAAATTTGGTCGTTGTTCCTGCTAAGTGAGAAGAAGGCCGTCATTCTTTTGACCGGAGATGCGTATTTTAATGGACTAAATGGAAGTGATGTGGAGGGGTTCACCAAAAAGAGAATGCCCTCTCGGCTAATTACGGTGGAAGGGTTCCAAAGTGGAGGGTTTATTCATCGGGAAAGTCAACGGTGCAGCCCATAATCCAGCGGAAAGACAAGACAGTGATGCTATAACCACTCGAACCAACCCACTTCAGCATCTCAAATTTCTACCCATTCGAGAATATAATGGTACAGAGGGAAGAAGTAGTAATAATGCTTACCCCTCCTCGGAATTCTCCTCATTTCTTTCTGCTTTCCTTTCTCCCTTCTTTCCGCCCTCCTTCCTTCTAATCCTAAGGCGTGACATGGTGTCTTTTCAAGGTAAGTTCTCCGGTCATATACGCTCAAACCAGTCGCGATATTGTGCGTGCCTGCGTATTTGTGTGGTAAGCAGATCTATAGAAGGTGCATGCCAATGGGTTACGACCGAGTCTTGGGCAGAACCAGAGTGCCAGTTAATTCATGTACGCAAGGGTGCCTGTGATAGTTTTTTTGAGTTTCCAAGTCAATACATCCGCAAAAACCAATAATTTATATCTGAGACACCTCCAAACCGATGGTGGGTTGGTTGATGCCTCCTGACAATGCTTATTTGTAACATCGAAAACATCCTTACCACGTTTGGCACTCTGCCATGGTCAGCAACGATCGTGCCTTATCGGTACCGCACTGATGAATATAGTCAGTCTTTGCCACGACTGTCGCATATGAAGCAAATGACAATTACTAGCTCCGACAGTACACCATTACATATTTCCTTGCCATCAGTAGCACCTTTTGCAGTGTCACTAATATTTAGGATTTCAGGAGATCGGTATTGCTGATGCTATATTGCCAACCTCCTAGTTTTTTCCTCTTAAAAACTCCTCTATCTTCTTCCTTCCCTTCT